CTCAGTTGTAAGCGTCCTCGGGACGTCCCGCGGCTTCGGCCGGACGCTTTGGCTGGTGGGTTTGCTTGCAATGACACAGGCGGCGCGGTCAGGCTCCCCGGGGAGGATTTAGAAAAGCAGCACAAATGTGTCTTGATAGTTCGAAGCATTATTGTCCCCATCTGTTGCCCCCTTCTCTAGAAAGAAACCTCCGGCGAAACCCAACCTGTTTCTTCCCGTCTGATGCCGACGGCCTGCCCCAGCTCCTCGTAGTCAGGGCGGCTGGGCTGGCGGGGGCTGCCGGGGGGGACCCCAGGGTTTTGGCTTCCCAGCTCACCTGTCTGCAGGAGAGTTTGAAGCAGTAAAACAGAGCCGAGAGAGAGACGCTTTCCCACCGTTAAAAGGGCTCTGGCGGCTTCTCCGGTCCCGTAACTATTTGCTTTCCCATGTTCAAGGTCACTGCTTTGGCAAGGTTTGGGTGAGAGGGTAGGGAGGAAGACTGTACTCTCCAACCAGGCAAATGTTTCTCTTCTGGAAGAGTAGGGGATTTGTTTTCCTTTCTCTGTAAATACTTTTGTATCAATTTATTCATCTGAGTAACACCCACCCCCCAAATTCATCAGTGTGAAGGAAGCAGACCCCAAAGGTCCTAATTAGAAGGTAAATAACAGTGCACTTGTATATATTTTTAAACGACTTGGGGGCTCTAATCCCCGCTCTCTGTTTTTTTTTCTTTGTACAGTTCAGTTACTAAAAACCTTATTTTTACATTTTTTAAAAACTTTCTTTCCTTTCTTTCCATTAATTTGTGTTCTGTCTTGCATCATTAAAGTAGCACATTTTTAACAAGCAGTATAATGTACCTGTTAAAATACAATTCTGGTGAGTACTGATGATGCCTTTGTACTTTAAGTGAAATACTGTACAATAAATAACAGAATATGTGCAAACGGTGCCGCCTCCTTCTTCTTTTCTTTTTTTTTTTATTTTTCCTTCCTGTGTGTTTCCACAGCTATCTTTTCCATGTCATGGATTTCCCAGTGGTTTGGAAGATTTTTTTTGTAGCAATTTGGAATGGGAGTTTCTGCTCTCCATGGGGTCAAACAGGCCTTGTGTTCCCTGGAAATTTTTTAAACCTGAGTAATCTTCCTGTGCGGTGCTGACTGCTGCCTTGTGCGTTCGTGCTCTTGCTGTTCCCCAGAGCAGTTTGCACCAGCGCACTACCTCATGAATCCCTTCGCCTCTGGGAAACGTAGAAACCTCGTGCGGCAATGGAGATAAACCTGCACCCGGGCAGCAGTCTTTGGGCTTGCTGAGGTTTATGGGCCATGTTGCTGCGAGTATTTAAAGTATAATAAGAGTCTGACCTGGGGCCCATAAAGAGGTCATCACTCTGATCAGAACTGTGTAGGATCAAGATCTAACTCTGTCCTTACGAGAGGCTGTAGCAATTTAATTACGTTGATAGAAAATCCCATCTGTTCCCAGAGATGTTCACTCCATTCAAATAATTTGTGTAAGCGAGGCTTCAGAAACAGCTGCTATTCGAGGGCGGAAAGGGGAGGAATCCAGGTGTTTTTCCGTGGAGAAGGAGAGAGGACCGAGCAAGCAGAAGAGAGGTCCAGCAGCACTGTTGTGGCTGACGGGGAAGAGTTTGAAGACCAGGTTGCTAGTCCAGCCACGGCGGATCGTGGTCTTTCGTCTTAGTCTACCTCAGGGCAGAGAACCCACACAGACCGGCCCGGTTACGGGGAAGGACGTCGCGGTGTCCACGCCTCGCCTCCTCCTGCGTGGAGCCAAGAGCAGAGCGCTGAACGGGAGCGAAGGAGGAGGACGGCCGCGCTCCACGACGACCCTTGGATCGCACGGACGAGAGAGGGGCCCCAGCCCTGGCGCTCGCGGACGCGTGCCTGCGGCAAGGGATGTTCCCGTCCCGAGCTGCCCGCGGGTCGCTCTCCAGGTCCACCACGGCCGTGCCGGCTGCCCCCAGCTGCCTTTAACACCGAGCAATCTTGAACGCGGCTCTGGCGTCGTATTGCAGGGGAGGACGGGCTCGGTCCTGCACAATGTGGGCTGTGACCGCCCGGCCGGTTGACAGCGCGCTTGTGCCCCTTAGGTCAGGTGGCGGGCACAGTCGGCCGTTGTACGGGCT